AATTGGTAAAAAGGGGACCATTATCATTAAATCATGCCTGTCCTCCTCAATCGCCCCTCTCTATCTCACCCTCCTAATTTTTACATTTGTAAAGTGCTATTATAAATCAAACGAAATCTGAAATATAATAAGTGTTTGACTTTTCTATTAATATTAAACAATGGCAATTATTTGTCTGTTAAATGCTGAATCTAATTTAGCTTTTTAAAAACATTTATCCATTGTTTTGTATTTTATTGTTTAATACTATATTACAAAAGTTTATGAAACATTTTAAAATAAATCTTTTCTGTTTATTTTTAAGGATAACATTGATTCATCTGTTTTTCTTTTTTGATAGATAAAGGTGGCATCAATTTACTGATTCAATCAAATTAAAATATTTCTACAATATTATCTTTTGTAATAGAAATATACACATACATATAGTGCCCCATAATCATGCAATATGAGAAGCTTTAATTTTGATTTCCCATTATAATTAGATAAATTATTTGAAAAATTTAAGAAATTTTTCATTTTCGTGAAGAGGACACACTGTACGTGTGATCATGTGTATCAGTATGATCATAAAGAAAAATAATTTTATGTCGTATTGTATGTACAGTTTTGACAAAAAATAAATGTCTAATAACTCATTCATGGTTAGTATTATTTATGGTTTTATATTAAAAAAACTCCCACATGCAAATCACCCACATACTGCATGCGCGCCTTCTAAATTAAATTAACACGGTTTAATTCACAATACCCCAGTATTTTTAAGATTAGACGATTTTTAGTAAACCTATGGTATACCTTTTTGCTTTTTTTGCAAATTTACTTATTATAAAAGAAAACCGTCAGTTTCACTTACATAAAAACATTTTTTGCCGCTAAACAAGGTCAAAGAATTATTACATTTTGCAGTGCGAGTACATTTGTGGAATTTTCTAGCACTTTATCAAATTTCTAGCAACTTCTGGAAGTAAGTAGCATTTTAATACTTGTAATAATTAAACAAATTCATCATCCTGTAGGAGTATTTTTTTTATTGGTAATCTCAGTAAACTATTACGAATTTTTACGAAATTCATTCAAAAACTCGAAAACACCAGGAAAAGTAAACTCCATGATGGTGCTTACGTGGACCAATCACAGAAGGCCAGATTGACAAATATAGTCCAATAATAAATCGTTAAGTTTCAAATTCCACCAATGAAATATCTACACGAAGAATTTAGTACTTAAAATGCCAGTGTCAAAATTTCTGTCGGCAGTTTTGTTCAGAAAGTGGTAACGTAACGGAGTATTATTTTAGTCTAGTGCACAAATTAATACTAAACTAGAGTGTTTTTCTACATTATTGAATAAAAGCGGACATTGAAAGAAATATATAAGGTAAATATTTGATATATTTTTTTATTTATATAATTCGCTAGTATTATATCCGCCATGCCGGTGGTATTTTCTAGAATATTTGTTGAAAATTCAAAATTCTGAAACCGATTTAAATACACATATGTTAATATTTTGATTTAATTTTCGTATACATCATTAATACAAGAAGCATATTCCCTATTCTATTTAGAAAATAACGGTATGTGTAACAGTTTGTCATTCCAGCATGGATAATTTACAGTTATGCAGATAGAATATAATAAGTTGATGTTTTATTTTATTATTGCAGGTTCTTAAAAACGGCAAAATCATGAGGCTGTACTTAGCTCTAAGTACGTTACTAATCGTGGCCTCTGTCTTGGCCAAAGAAGACAAAAAGGAAAAAGAAGATGTTGGCACAGTTATAGGAATTGATTTGGGAACAACATATTCATGGTAAGTAGAGAAAATACATTATTTTCGGTATTGCCTTTTATAATTAAAGTTGCTCATATAATAAACTAATAAGATGCATAATGATGAATGAAAAAGCCATTAAACATTCATACATCAGGTGTTTGTTATTCATCATGCTAAATTAACTTTTGAGTTTTTTTTTATTGCAGCAGATGTTAAACTTTATACATTCATAACCTTATTTTTTCATACCTAAGCTAATCAGCCAATTATGCTAGGCACATTTATGTTTTGAGATAAGTTCCCGTTGTTAAGCATTTAGTTTACAAAATTGCAAAACTGAAAAATAAAATTTCCTTTTAGTTAACACGTTATCAAAATTTTGAATGTAAGGCTTTTCTTTGAATGTTAAATATTTCCCGAATTATAACAAATATAAGTTGTAAATGGTAAATTTGTATCTTTTTCTTTATTCAATTCTAGTGTCGGGGTTTACAAAAATGGTAGGGTAGAAATTATAGCAAACGACCAAGGTAACAGAATTACGCCGTCGTATGTTGCTTTCACCTCTGATGGTGAGCGTTTAATCGGAGACGCTGCCAAAAACCAGCTTACAACCAACCCTGAAAACACAGTATTTGACGCGAAACGTCTGATTGGTCGAGAATGGTCTGATCCAACAGTACAAAACGATATCAAATTTTTCCCGTTCAAAGTAATAGAGAAGAACTCAAAACCCCATGTGAAAGTAGTTACGAGCCAGGGTGAAAAGATCTTTGCCCCTGAAGAAATTTCTGCCATGGTCTTGGGCAAAATGAAAGAGACTGCTGAAGCTTACCTTGGTAAAAAAGTCACCCATGCTGTTGTAACAGTACCAGCATATTTCAATGATGCTCAGAGACAGGCCACCAAAGACGCCGGTGTTATTGCTGGACTTAATGTTATGAGAATTATCAATGAACCTACAGCTGCTGCCATTGCATATGGTATGGATAAGAAAGAAGGGGAAAAGAATGTGTTAGTCTTTGATTTGGGTGGTGGAACCTTTGATGTTTCCCTCCTTACCATTGATAATGGAGTCTTTGAGGTAAGTTAAAGTAATTCTAAAATTGATGAATATTTTTAAATATTAATTATTAATGATGACCGCATAGTTCAGTTGATGACCATGATATAAATGTCTGTAAATGTCTTTCACCCCTATCTGAATAATTCAATTATAATTGAGGGTATTTTTCACCCTTTTGCGTCAACTTTGTGCTGAATGTGATTTATTTTCTTCCAGGTGGTGGCTACAAATGGTGACACTCATTTGGGTGGTGAAGACTTCGATCAGCGTGTTATGGACCACTTTATCAAGCTGTACAAAAAGAAGAAGGGCAAAGACATTCGCAAAGACAACCGTGCCGTTCAAAAGTTGCGTCGTGAAGTCGAAAAGGCCAAACGTGCACTCTCTTCCAGCCACCAGGTCAGGATTGAAATTGAATCGTTCTTTGAAGGTGATGACTTCTCTGAAACTTTGACCAGAGCCAAATTTGAAGAATTGAACATGGTAAGTTAAAAAAAAACTGTCCTTTACGTTATACTTTTCTTGTTATAAATCAGTCTTTATGATAATTCTTTAAAGAGTTTAGAGTTTCTTGTGTTGTATAATAACTTCATCACCTTTTCAGGACCTTTTCCGTTCTACCATGAAGCCAGTTCAAAAAGTCCTTGATGACGCTGACATGAATAAAAAAGACGTCGATGAAATTGTGCTAGTCGGTGGTTCAACCCGTATTCCGAAGGTGCAACAGCTTGTAAAAGAATTTTTCAATGGTAAAGAACCATCTCGTGGTATTAATCCTGACGAAGCTGTCGCTTATGGAGCAGCTGTTCAAGCTGGAGTTCTTTCTGGAGAACAAGACACTGACGCTATCGTTTTGCTCGACGTCAACCCTCTTACTATGGGTATTGAAACTGTTGGAGGTGTTATGACAAAGTTGATTCCAAGAAACACCGTCATTCCAACAAAGAAGTCTCAGATCTTTTCTACAGCCTCCGACAATCAACACACTGTAACCATTCAGGTCTACGAAGGTGAACGTCCCATGACCAAAGACAACCATTTGTTGGGCAAATTCGATTTAACTGGAATCCCACCAGCACCTAGAGGAGTCCCTCAGATCGAAGTTACCTTCGAAATTGACGCAAACGGTATCCTTCAAGTGTCGGCAGAAGACAAAGGAACGGGAAACAAGGAGAAAATTGTCATTACCAATGACCAGAACCGTTTGACTCCTGATGACATTGACAGGATGATAAGGGATGCCGAGAAATTCGCCGATGAAGATAAGAAACTGAAAGAACGCGTGGAGGCTAGGAACGAATTAGAAAGTTACGCTTATTCTCTGAAAAATCAAATGGGTGACAAGGAAAAGTTGGGCGGTAAGTTGTCTGACGAAGAAAAGACGAAAATGGAAGAAGCGATTGACGAGAAGATCAAATGGTTGGAAGAAAATCAAGACACAGATTCAGAGGATTACAAGAAACAAAAGAAAGAATTAGAGGATGTTGTACAACCTATTATCGCGAAATTGTACCAAGGAGCGGGTGGAGCTCCACCACCAGCGGGAGGTGCCGACGAAGATTTTAAAGATGAGCTTTAAAGACTGATCAAACTTTAGGATTCACAATTAATTAATTGTCTTGTGAATGATCGACGAGTGGTTGTGTTGTGTGTAATGAAAAAGAACGAACGCGTGTGCATTGATTTGGTATAGATTATAATTATATAATTTGATTTTTATTTCCTAATTTATTGTCATCATACCATATTTCTTCCTCTTCCAACAAACAAAACAGATAGAATAGAAGAATGAATATCTATCCGTGGGTGGTAATTTTGTTAATTTAATTTTAATTAGATAAATATTTTTGTCAAGTATTAGCGTACAAGTATCGGTTCATAATGAATCAATTGTTCTAAAATACACAATAATAGAAATTAGAAGAAATTAAATACATAATTGTTGCGAATGTTGTAAGCTGGTATTTGACTCCCATCATTTTTCAATAAAACCCCGAAGTAAAAATATGTTTTTATTATAGAAATGGAATTTCACCACTTTCCACTCCTTTGCTTTTTCCCTCTTTTTAAAAATTTCAACTAATTTTTAATCAGT